TGCCAGAAAATGGGAATGAGGCCAGAACCAGAATGTCAACAGAAGGCACTGCCAGGGAGTTGTCCACGGCTGCGCTGACATTGTAGAAATGCTTATCCAGAGAAGATGGGCGAGGACCTGCTGAAGGGGAAGCGCACTGTTCCTTGACCATGTCCAGGAACAAAGTGGGAGAAGGCAAAACCCCTGCATGCACTACAGGCTTGGAGAAGAATGAGTCTCCCTGGCTAGAGGGAATTCCTTGTGGCTTGGGAGCCAATTCCTCTGGCGACAACTTGGCAGTGACCAAGGCCATGCTGAGTAATGGCCTGAAGAGAGAAGGATTGAAGACCAATGCAGAGGATGTCTGCTCTGGGCGAGAGTCTTCTTCCTCTGAAAGATTTTGGTCAAAAATCTCACCCTCTTCATGTTCTGAACGAGAGGAGTAACTGTGTTCAGATGGTGAAGCCCTTCCCTCCTCATCAACCCCCTCCCATTCTGGTAGAGAAGAATGGACCCTGAGGTCCTGGGGCCTGTGTAAATCAGGGTGATGAGGCAACTTATAGATTGAGAAGGGAGAAGGGCTTGAACCCTTTCTGGAGGTCGAAGGATTTGCTTGAAGCCTTCAGCCAATCCCTGCCTAATGGCCAAAGAGACAACATCTTGGATATCCCCTGGTCTATGCTCAAAGGTAGGGGCAGAAGGCCGAAGGCCCGCTGCTGAGGGAGTGAAGGTGGCTTCAGGCCTAGATTGAGAAGAGGTTCGAGGCCTGGAGGGAGGAGGAGGAGCATAGGCCCCAGAAGCCTGTTGGAAATAAGGCCCAGATCTGCTTAGAACCTGAGGATCATTGTACTGCAAAAGCCTCAGGAGACAGGCTCATAGATAACTTCTCCTCCACTGGGAGGGCTTGGCTGGTGCCCACAGGTATCACCTGAAACATGCTGTAGTTGCACTCCCTTCTGTTGAATAGTTCTGTTGAACTGCCTCTCTAGGGCTGCATGTCTGCACTTTTCTACCCTCAACTCAGCCTGAGTTGCTTTCTTAGGGGCTAGAGCCTTAGCTCTGATTTTAGCAGCCACCTCCCTCTGGACTGATTGGGTGCGTTGCCTACAACTTTTTCTCTTATTGGCTTAAGAGACTGGGGAGGGGGGACTCTGCCTGACCCTTATCTTGCTCCATTTGAAGAATAAAGGCTCTTACGATGGAAAGAAACTGTTTGTAAATTTTTTGTATTAAGCCCCTTAGGGTATAAATTGGCACCCGGGCTTACAAAATGGCCACCTCGTGGTGGAAGGCTTCAATCCAAGATGGCCACTGACTATGGGAAACAGGCTCCGAGGCCGAAGAATTTCTCCTTAGGCTATAAAGAGCCCCAAGTGAAGTCAGCAAAGGAAAGGGCAGCCGCTGGCCACACGATCAGCTGGCTGACGCTGGTATCGGTTTGCCGATCACTTTTTACGACCGCTCAAACCACAGGCGTGGGGGAGGTCTACAGATGCTGCCCAACTAGCCTGAACAGCACTCTGGCAATGCTATTCCCAACGCTGCAGGAGAGAGAGAGCCCTGCTCTCCTGGAAGAGCAGCTGCCCAGATCCTGGGAGCTGCTGAAGCGAGGAAAAAAGGTACTGAAGATCGCTGGTGAGTGCTATCTACAGAACCTCAGCTGGCTGAAGCTGTTATCGGTTTGCCAATCGCATTTTACGACCGCTCAAACCGCAGGCATGGGGGAGGTCTACAGATGCTGCCCAACTTGCCTGAACAGCGCTCTGGCAACGCTGCTCCCAACCTTGCTTGAAACGAGGAAAAACAGCACTGAAGATCGCTGGTGAGTGCTATCTAACAGAAGCTTTCAGAGACACAGCTACTGACTGAAAGGAGCTGAGTCAAAAGCTGGGGTCTCTCCCGGGGGCTGGCTTTTATATCTTAGTACAGACTCAGCTAAATGACATCATAGGAAGAAGTCAACCCATCCTGGGCTCTCGATGCAGCATGGAGGAGAATTCTGAAGATCTAGGCCTCATGGAAGAAAGAGGCTGAATAAATGGAATCAAAGCAGAGGTCAAAGTCAAGAGACATACTAGAAGAGAAAAAGGCAACCAGAAAGGGCAGCATCTGGAAAAACTTGGAGAGAAAGAGAGAAAGAAAAGGGGGTTTGTTTCCTTCCCTCTGGCCTGTCATGAGGAAAAAGTGTTGTGAGCTGTTTACCTCAGAGGGAGGAAGTAGAAAAGGCACACAAAAAAGTAAAGATTTTGACAGAACAGAAGTAGAAAAGAGGAACCCATCTGAGATTTAAGTCTATAGAAAAAAGAGTTTGGCTCTATAAAAAATGACAACAGTGAAATAAAGTAATTGAGATTACAGGAATATAGGAATCAAAAATAAATAGATATAGAAAAGATATAAAAGACAAAGATATGAGAATATTGTAAAACTGGACTTTCAAGAATATAGTGTAAATAAAGAGCTTACAGAAGATAGCAAAATTATTTGCTTAATTAAGATTAATTTCTGAATTAGTGGTATATATGTGTTTGTGTGTGTGTGCGTGCACGCACATTTGTATGTATGTATATGTGTGTGTGTGTTTGTGTGTGTGTGTATGTATACACACACATATAATTCCTTTTTAAAAAGTTATTTGTAAGCTTTCCTTTTGTAAAATAAAAGTCCCCCTCAAATTTCAAAATTCAAATTTTGTCAAATGCATTTTAATTCTAAAATATATATTTTTAATATCTTTAGTAACTAAGGTCAATATTTGTGACATTTCAAAATATGGTAAATTTTGATTATATAAATAGTTCATATATTAAATCAGTGTACCATAAATGTATTTGAAAATTAATAGTTTTTCTGTAGAACATGACCTTTAAGCAGTTTTAATAACTGACACTGGGTATTATTTACTGTTTTGTTTTTCTTCAATTGTAGCTAAATTAATGCAGAAAATCCAAGCATATTCTATTTTCTATTGTTTGTTTTCCTGAAAAAACCATATTTGCCATATTAATCTTATTTTGAGCCAAGTATACATTATACTGTGCTCTTAGGCTGGGCCTAGCACCATTTTTGGCTGGTATAGCTGAAATATTGACAGCATTTCACCCTTGGGCATTTACCAAAAGGTCACTAGGGTGATAGGTAACCAGTCATAAAGCAGAGAAGTTATTTAGTTAATTTTTTCAGTTTTCAGTTTCCAAACATTAGTGGTGCTCAAAAGTTGTGACATGCCTTAGGGATTGTAAAGATACTTTGGTTACGTTAACATAATTTAGATGTGTTTGGTAAGTAATTACATAAATATTACTTTTTTTAACATTTTGTTTGTTTCATTTACCATACCTCACTCTAACCCTCACTTCCTAAAGACTTTAGCTTTCTCTTCTTATCTCTGTCTAGGGAATGGGCAGCTACTCACCCTTTTATTTTCTAAGAATATTTGTAGGTCTTATATGAGGCTCAGAAATAATCTTGGGAATAAAAGATATGATGGAAGCTGGCAGTTTCATATATATGGATTTATTTTTATTAAATAAAAACATTGATAACAATGCAGAATCGAAGGTGATTTTGGCATATACCATAGGAAGTATTTTCTGTCCCTTTGAGACCTCAGGACATGTTGCATATCTATAGGTGACTGTCCTTAGTGATTACATTGCAGTTGGTTTTTTTAGTCTATACTTCTCAGTGTATAAACAAGTAAAAAGAAATACGTTTGATTCTTACATAATTTAAAAACTGTTTATTATCAGTTAGTATGGTGCAGAAATATCAAAGATTAGACGGGACTGTACATGAGCAGGCAAGTAGCAGTAGTCTAGGTTATATTAAGTATGTAATTTCCCAGGATTATGAACCAGTTGAATCTACACAACTTCTTTAAACATTTCTGTCAAGTGTTATAAGGATTCTCTGTTCACTCCAAATCAGTTAAATCTGAACTCTGCACTACCATACTGCTAGATAATTGTAGGTTAGTATTCTCATGGCAAAAACACACCATAGTAAAGCCTCCTCCTCCCCCCCTCCCCCCCAGTGACTTTGTAAATCTTTCTTGCTTCTACTTTCATTCTGAACTTAACATAAAAGCATCATGATCCAACAGTGGTGACATGACTTCTTTATTTTGATGCTATTTCTGTTCTTATTTTCCTTCTTAATACTATATTTAATTTGTTTTTAATGCATATGTTCACAGATGTTCAGCATGAACATCAAGTTATTATTGTGGCGATAGCTATAAAACATTCCTTGAGAATCACAACATTGCCCCACAGGGGCACAAAATCACTACAGGCCATGAAGCAGTTACAATTCCTGTGATATTTTTATGTTGTAAGCTTCTGTATACTTTTAGTATACTAAGAAAGGCAATTCCTACCAGAAGCATTTGTGCTTAATGCTTTAGCAAAATACTGTACTCATTTTTTAAAAATATACAAGTAGTTCTTGACTTATGACTAGTCATTTAACGACCCTGTGCATTTACAATGGCCATGGAATGGGTGCTTTACAATCCATAACCACCACCCCCAAGTCATTGCAAATAATCAGACATTCCTCCATGGTTTCTGATCAGTTGTTGCATTCTGTAGTCATGTGACTGTAATTTGCATTGTTTTTTACCAGTTTCCAGCAAAAAAAATGACAATTCAGATCAATGGATTTGCACTTAAAACCACTATGTTTGCTTAACAACTACTCCATTTATTTAACAACCTTTACAAAGAAAAAGTTTTAAAATCACTTCGACCATGTAGGTGCCTAGACTTATGCCCTAATGGCTTACAATCAGATTTCTGATTCCAGTTACAGTCATAAGCTGAGGACACTCTTATGTTATATTCATATACACATTATGGTATATTCATACAAACACCTTTTTTCTATTTCAGATAACATATCTAGTTGACACAGCCAGCAACGTAATAACAATAGTTTTTGAAAATTTATGAAGTACCAGATGCCCGTATGTTGTAGTAAATATGATAATAAATTCTCCTCTCCTCTTTTCTGTTTAGAATTCCCAACCTGTGATCCACTGATTCATTTTATATGTAATAATGGAAGATGTATTAGTAGCAAGTGGCATTGTGATACAGGTAAGAATCAACTCTAGTTCAACTCTAGTCACAAATAATGTTTCTGTCTAACTTTCAGGAATCTTATTCAGCTTCCCTGTATCATACCCAACCCTGAAGTGGCTAAGGCTGAAAGTTTCATGTGATAGTGGTGAGAATTAGCTTTCATGTTACATGTTACCTATTAAGTTTCATGTAATAGGTTCCATGTGAGCATTCAATCCTCTGTTTATACACTAGGGGTGACAAAATTGATTTCACTAAATCTCATAGAAGTGATCCAATGTTTTGAAGATTAATATGTACTAAAGAATTTACCGATTAATCATGTAGAGAGAATGCATAGGATTATCTTATTGATTTCTGATCATTCACTTCTGCTTGAAGATGGAAAGTGATAGATTACTATTTAAACTATTATGGCTTCTGTTAATTAAATATTTGTGATATTGTGTATGCTTTTGCATATCTCTATCTATCTATCTATCTATCTATCTATCTATCTATCTATCTATCTATCTATCTATCTTTATATCTATATCTATATCTATATCTATATCTATATCTATATCTATCTATCTATCTATCTATCTATCTATCTATCTATCTATCTATCTATCTATCTATCTATCTATCTATCTCAGCCTGATTTACTTATTTTTTATATCATTTATTTCTCTACACTTCTATGCTCACTCAAAAAAGATATTGATGGTGGAACATGATTGACCTGTTCTGGTTAGTGACACCCCCCCCCCTCTTTAATTACTATCCCATAGCTTAAAATATACTGAATGAACACCCTAAACCAGAAAGTAAAATAAAACAGTATTTATTTTACTTAACAAAATAGGGAGTCACACATAATATATAAATGGGTACATACAAACAGTAACTGAAATGCCTATTGTTGCATCATGCATATATTGCATCACTGAAGAATTAAAAATATTGTAGGATACATTCAGTGTTTTGGCAGATCATGCCTCCTGAGTGAAACATGCTAGGACCATAATTCTTCTCTCACTACAGTAGCAACATCCAGTATATTGCACCTTTGTTGCCTCAAATATTGCTAAGCATGTAATACTTAAAATGTTATAAGAATCAGCACATGTCTAGGATCTTGAATGTGTTTCCTAGACCTTTCATCACTCTGTTGTTTTGGTTATTGCTATACAAATATTTTGTCACAGTTTTATTCCCTGCAAGGTCTTCAGGCACCTTAATTATATTCTTTAAGCATAAAACTCACCTCATGATCTCACTGCAGATGAGATCCCAAACTTTTACTTTGCACCCATTCTTTTGTCTAAAGCTAGAATAGAATAGAATTATTTATTGGCCAAGTGTGATTGGACACACAAGGAATTTTTTTTGGTGCAAATGCTCTCAGTGTACATAAAAGAAAAGATACATTTGAATCTCGGAGGGTGGAGCTGGCATCATGGCGGTACAGCATGTGATCTTTAAGCTTTAAGATCACTGCTGATGTCTCCATTGCAGGACAGTCCCAACAGACCTAAACCGTCCCGTAGAGATCGTGACTCAGAAGGGCACATCCTGTTGATCCCAGGGACATTGCAAAGTCCCTGGTAGATCCAGGAGAAGCCCTTTTTTCCTACGGCGGAGAGGCAGCCATTAAAGCTGCTGAAGCTGGGACAGCTCTGGAACGAAAGAAAGCTGAAAAGAAAGTGTGTCAGTTTGGTGAGATAATTTTCTACTTTTTTTTTTCTGGAGAGAACACCCTAAAGGACTAAAAATTAAATTTAAAAGTGAAGATAAAAGTGCTCAAGCGCCGAGACTAAGCACAAATTAAACCTGAAGGTTTTTTTTCTCTTTTTATTGGAACTTTGGATTTTTGTAAAAACTTTTCAATTTTTAAACTGGACTGGTCTTTCCTTTTTAATTTTAATTTTTTCCTTTCAAAATAACTTTTTGGAAAAGTCTTTTTATCTCTTGTTTTTTTTCTCTTTAATAATTCTAGACTCTTTTTATTTTTTTATTCCTGGTTTTAATATTAAAGGGGAAGGGAAAGGAAAGGGAAATAAGTAGCGCTGCCACCTGGAGGCTTGGATACATTGTTTTCCTTTCTTTCTTGTTGATACATTTGGTGTTACATTCAAGGACTCTGTGCTTTTCATTGAAAAGATAGTGGGAAGAGCATGTAGATTGTTTATGCAGGTGCTCTTCTGTGGAACTATTGATAGCTGGAGCCTGGATTTGAAATTGAAGAAAGAAGATTGAAGTGACCTTGAAAAGAGAACTGGAAATTTTGTTTTTTGATTTAGTAAAGAGCCTTGAACATATAGTGGCAGTGTTTTGCTTACTGACAGAATTGCATTTTCTCTCTCCCCTTTTTTTTCTACTCCCCCCAGTTGGATTTTTATATTTGGATTTGAGTCCTTTGATTCAGGAATAAGACTACTTTTTTTCCCCTCCTCCCTTTGTTCTACCTTTTTATCAAAGGGAATATACAGATCTCTGTCTTTTTAAAAAATTTCCTTTTTTTTTCATCCTTTCTCCTTTCTCCATTTTACATTTTTTTTTCTTTTTTTTTCTACATAATTGGAACCAATTGGATTGAGGTATTCAAGTGCCTGAAGATTTTTTCCGTTCCCATTTTTATTTTTATTTTTTGCTTTTTTTTTTTTTTTTACTGGAGTGGCAGTTGGCTGCTCTTGCTTTTTCTTCTCAATTTTTCTATTAAGTACTCCAAGATGAGCAGAAAGATACCAGCCTCAGCTTCTTCAATCCCGACTTCTTCCTCCTCACCATCTGGAGGACAACGATCAATACAGGTGATGTTACAACAAGAGAAGGAGAAAGAAGTGACACTGCAGATGATTATGCAAGGAATTCAAAAGATACAAGTAAAAACAGATAATATTGAAAAGAGAACGGAGAATATTGAGCAAAGAACTGAAAAGACAGATGAGAAAATTGAAAATATTCAACAGATGATGATGAAAATATTCAACAGGTGAACACGAGGACAGAATCAAGAAAATTGAAGAACAAAATGTACAAAGAGATAAGAAGATTGGAGATATGGATACCCGATTGAGTGAAGTGGAAAGAGACAAGGGCAGATCTCTGCAATCATTGGGTTGGGAAATTGATAGATCAAAATTCTATCTTAGATTTCAAAATATAGAAGAAGAAAAGGGTGAAAACCTTGCTGAAGTGATGACAGAAATCCTGGCAGAAGCATTAGAGGTAACTAAAGAGAAGATGATGGATGGAATGGACGAGGTTTTTCGTGTCTATACAAGATATGTGATGAGAAATAAACTGCCAAGAGAAGTTCATATCAGATTTACTAAGAAAATAATTAAATCACAAATACTGCAAACAGCAAGAGAAAAAACACTAAAGTACAAAGATAAAGAAATAGTGGTACTGAAACAGGTACCAAGGAGAGTGAGAGAAATAAGAAGAGAATATTTACTCTTGACCAAAGAGTTACTTAAGAGAGGAATAAATTACAGATGGCTGATACCAGAAGATCTCATGTTTACCTGGCAGGAACAAAGACACAGAATTGATACAGTTGAAAAAGCTGAGTTATTCTATCTGGAATATTTCAGAGGAAGGGAGGAAGATACAAGAAAAGAAGAGTCGTTAATTGAATTTCAAGAGGAATGTATAGCAGTAATTGAAAAAGAAGAAGGAGCATCAGTGGTGCACCCAGAGAGCAATGAGAACCAAGATCTACTAGAGCAACAAATCCTTCTTATAAAGTCTAACATGGTCGAGAGAAAACTGATTACAATTAATATAAATGGACTTAATTCAGCTATTAAAAGAAGAAAAATATTTCATAAGTTAGATAAATTAAAATTTGACATAATCTGCCTGCAAGAAGTATATATTAAAAAACAACATGATTATATATTGAAACAACAAAAATTAGGGAAATTATTTACAGCGTTGATACAGTGTAAAAAGAGAGGAGTGGTGTTATACATCAGAGATACAATCCCTGCAGAACAAATATATACAGATGATGATAGAAGGATTTTGATGGTGGAGATAACAGACAATAAACTAAAGATACTTTTAATAGCAATTTATGCTCCAAATGATAATCAAGAAGATTTTTACAGGAAATTACATAAGAAAATAATTCAACTTGGCTA